CACCTGCTAGGCAAGCACTGTACCACTGAGCCACACCCTCAGCTCTGACCTTTGACAAGGCTTTTGAAACCAGGCTGTGCTTGATACCTGCATGAGTTTTGTTTTTTGAGACAAAGTCTTGCTGTGTAGTCCAGGCTGGCCTCAAGGCCACCCTCCTGCCTCAGCCTCCCAAGTACTGGGACTAAGGTGTGCACCACCATTGCCTCGCTGCCTGCATGGTTTTGAGAAGAGCTGACTGTAGCCCTAATCTAGGGATAGGGGCTTACTGTCCAGTGGGGGAAGGGAACAAAATAATGAGTCTGTCAAGTAGTGCTGCACTGTAGACCTAATGAAGCAGGGGAGGGAGGGGGCAGTGCCGCAGCGGGAAGTGCAGTTGCAGGCAGGGGAGTCAGGTGTTGGAGAACATTCCACGCAGCAAGACCTCACGGGGGAGAGGAGGAGCCCCGAGGTGGGGAGCAAGAGCATGCTGGGTAGAGGCACAGCTAGTGCAAAGGCCCTGAGGTAGCAGGGTGACAGGGTGTCCGGGGGTATGGAGAAGCCCTGCTGGCTGCAGTCAAATGCCTGAGGGGCAGTGTGGAAGGAGACGGGAACAGAACCCTTGGGCGCTCTTTGTACAGGATTTTTGTGGGCAGTTGGCCATAGTATAGAGTAGCTGTCATCATCCTTATTATTATGTGGATGGAAGATGGATGGGTGGATGGAGAGCAGCCCTACTTGACAGCCCATCTGACATCAAAATCAGGGTTCTGTCATGGTGACCCATCCCCACTGTGGTGGGGACAGCAGGGAGAGTTCCTGCAGAATACAGGAGCCCCCCCCCCCCCATTTTTCCTCTGTAGCGTCAAAGCGGAGGATCCCAGTGTCCCAGCCGGGCATGGCGGACCCACACCAGCTGTTTGATGACACAAGTTCAGCTCAGAGCCGGGGTTATGGGGCCCAGCGGGCAGCTGGCGGCCTGGGCTACCCCGCCAGCTCTACCTCATCCCAAGCGGCCTTCCTCGCAGATCCTGTGTCCAACATGGCCATGGCCTATGGGAGCAGCCTGGCCGCACAGGGCAAGGAGCTGGTGGACAAGAACGTGAGTGCTGGGACTAGTGGGAGTGGGCGACCACAGGGGCCATGAGGCCTCAGGCTTGAGCTCTGCTTCCCCAGATCGACCGCTTCATCCCTGTCACCAAGCTCAAGTATTACTTTGCTGTGGACACGGTATATGTGGGCAAAAAGCTGGGCCTGCTCATCTTCCCCTACCTGCATCAGGTCAGTGCTCCTGCCAGGAACTGGGGCACTGGGGGCTGGGGGCTGGCTACTCTGGGGATCCAGGCCACTTCCTGTTGCCCTACAGGACTGGGAGGTGCAGTACCAGCAGGACACCCCGGTGGCCCCCCGCTTTGATGTCAACGCTCCAGACCTCTACATTCCAGGTCACACATCCTGCCCTCCGCCCCAGACCTTCCTCCCTGTGGTGGGCATGTGTGGGCCTGAGCCCCAGCACAGTGCTTCCTCCTCTGACCAGTGTCTGGCTCTACCTCCTACAGCAATGGCTTTCATCACCTACATCCTGGTGGCTGGCCTAGCACTGGGGACCCAGGACAGGTAAGGGAGGTCCAGGGTGGGGTGGGGTGAAATGGGGTTCACTGGCCAAGGAGCAAGACCTCAGTTCTTCTTTTAGAAGAGCCTCTCCTTTCTCCCGGTTGACTCAAGACAGAGCCCTCCCTGTCACCCTGGCATGACCTTATCTCTTCCCTTCATCCTACCCAAGTGCAGCCTCAGATGCCCTGCTATGGATAGCCCTCCAATGTGTCCTTTCTCCTGGCCTCTAGCCCCAAGTCTGCCCATTCCTCACTCTGACCTAAAAGAGTACCCCCACTGGGGGTGGGGGGCTGGCCACACCCCAACACACCTGCACAGCTACTCTTAGCCCTGTGAGGCCCGACCACCCTGTTCTCTTCCTCAGAAGTTCTGCCTCCCAGGGCCTTTGAACTTCAGCTCCCTTCGCGGGAGTACGTTCCTCTCCTGGGCCTGCTCATTTGCCATGTCTCATTCCCATGTCACTGCCTCGCCCCAGCCAGGGTCAAAGCCCCATCTTGCACTCATAATCTCCTGTTCCTTTCCTTCATGGCACTAAAAACAACTGTTGGTTCACTGTTGAGGCCCTGGTCACAGGTCAGCCCCCCCCTCCCCTCCCCCCCGGCTTCTTACTCTTTCCAGGCTCAGCTTACTGTCTCCTCTCTGGGGAAGGCCCTCTGCCTTACTCTCCTGACTGCCTTGAGCACAGCCCCCTACAGTTTCTGTAGCCCAGTCCTGACCCTGCTGGACATGTCTGTGTGGGGACAGTGGTGCCTCCTTCCCAGAGTAGCATTTCCATGAGGACAGCCCCACATTCATCTTGGTCACATTGAGTCTCCAGCCCCATCCCACACCCGCATAGAGCTGTCCCCAGGCATTGCTCAGGGACACCCTGAGCTGCCAGGCACTTGACTGAACTCAGCGCCCGCAGGTTCTCCCCAGACCTTCTGGGGCTACAGGCAAGCTCAGCACTGGCCTGGCTGGCCCTGGAGGTGCTGGCCATCCTGCTCAGCCTCTACCTGGTCACCATCAACACCGACCTCACTACCATCGACCTGGTAGCCTTCTTGGGCTACAAATATGTTGGGTGAGTATGTCCCACCCTGCTTACCAGCCCTCGCCTAAAGGCTGTTCTCTCAGCCCAGGCTCCTCTCTCCTTCCAGCATGATCAGCGGTGTCCTCATGGGCCTGCTCTTTGGGAAGACTGGTTACTACCTGGTGCTGGGCTGGTTCTGCATCTCCATCTTTGTGTTCATGGTGAGCTGGGGCTCATTGCAAGTGGGGCTGGGCATAGGCCTCTTGGGTTAAATGTGGTCTGTGGGGCCCCTGTGCTGAGGATGTCAGGGAGGGGGTTTGTTTACTTATTTTAGGGAGAGAGTTTAGACCAGAGCCACACAGTCTAAGGTGGCTTAGACTGGCCACCTGAGTAGCCAAGAAGGCTTCCATGAGGGAGCGTCTAGGCTGAGGCTGGAGGAGAAGCAGGACCAAAAAGCTGCAGGGGCGTAGGGGCCCGGGGTTACCCAGTGTTCCAACTCCTGGCTGGCCTCTTCCCCTTGCTCCACTCCCCTTATATGGTGGCTTCTGGCCAGGATGTCCCTGGAAGGAGATTCTGAGGACCCTTCCCACTGAAGTGGGGGTGCTGCTTAAGGGCAGTGGGGGCTTCGGGCTTGGGTGACCCCAGGCTTACTGGATTCAGTGAAGGTCCCTTCCCTGTTCAGACCTGTTTTCCCTTTTGTTTAATGGGATGATGAGGACTGCACCTCAGGGTGCTACGAGGATTCATTTTGAGCACAAAAAGGCAGAGTGCAGCTGGGCATGGGGCCACACCCTGTAATTCTAGCTAAATCCCCAGCCCTGTTTTTATTTGTTTGTTTGTTTTTGAGACAGGGCCTCACTGTGTAACTCAGGATGGCATTGAACTCACTAAATAGTTGGGACTGGCATTGAACTTGTGACCAATCCTCCTGCCTCAGTTCCATGAGTTCTGGGAATTACAAGTGTGTGCCGCGGGACACCTGGCTGTAAGCATTTAAAAAGAAATCGAGGGCCAGGGAGATAGCTCAGCTGCACAGAGCCTGTCTGGCAAGCATGAGGGGTCCTTAATTTGATTCCTGGTACACACACACACACACACACACACACACACACGAAATTGAAAGTGTTTTAGAAAATAGCTTGTCTTGAAAAATTGTCATCTGGGGCCACCTGTGGTGGTACATGCCTGGAATACTAGCACTCTGGGCAGCTGAGACAGAGGATTGAGAGTTCCAGGACAGCCTGGGCTACATAGCAGACCCTATTTCAGAAAGGGGTGGGCAAGATAGCTCAGCCGACTAAAGCGCCTGCTTATGCAAGCTCCCACACCCAGGATGGGCTGAACTGGCCAGAGTCCAGACATAGTGGCACATGCCTGTAATCCCAGTGCTGGGGCTGAAAGCAGGATTTAAAAAATAAAATAAAATAAATATATAAATAAAAAGCGCTGGGAAGGGCCAGCCAAATAGCTCAGCGGATTAAAGCACCTGCAAGCAGGCACATGGGCCAGGGGTTCAATCCCAGGGCCTGTGGTACCAGTGCCAGCCCCCCCCCAGGGCGGACAGAGGGAAACTGAGATTGGGCATGGTGGCGCTCGCCTGTAATCCCAGCTCTTGGGAGGCTGTAAACAGGCGGATCAATACGAGTCTGATCTAGTAGTGAGACCCTGAACACCCTGTAGACCCTTCCCTAAAAAATACAAAAAAAAAAAAAAAAAAAAAAAAAAAAAAAGCGCTGGGAATTTATCTTAGTGGGAAGCTCCGGGGTTCAATCCCAGGAAGGCAAAAAAGATTGTCATGAGGGATTATAGGGGACTAGCTTGGTGGTAGATAGCTTGCCTGTCATGCAGGAGGTCTGGGGTTTCACCTGCGCGAAAAGCAAACGTATCTCTTGGCAAATATAAGAAGTCCGGCAGCAGAGGGAGCCAGCTCATCACTAACCCCTGGCAGGACGTTAACAGTGAGGAGCCCCAGGGCCACTTCGGGCCTGGCTTGCAGGCAGCCTCAGGGCCGAGGCGGGAGGTCTGTTCAGGACCCCATCCCGGCTAACTGAGTGACCTGCATTCGTCCTCCAGATCCGGACACTGCGGCTGAAGATCCTGGCCGAGGCCGCGGCAGAAGGGGTTCCGGTGCGCGGCGCGCGGAACCAGCTGCGCATGTACCTGACCATGGCGGTGGCGGCGGCGCAGCCTCTGCTTATGTACTGGCTCACCTTCCACCTGGTGCGCTGAGCACCCTCATCATCTCTGCGGGCCGGGCCACCCCCGCGACCCGCCCCTCTACCAAGGTGCTGAGACCTCCAGCTGCACAAGGAATTAATAAACCCAGAGGCTCGCGCGACTCTGGCTACTTGGCGCACGCGCGGGGCGGCCGGCAGGGGGCGGCGGGGCGCGGGCGGGAAAGACTGAGCAGGACCCAAGGTTTAATGAACCCCACCCGCCCGTCAGGGAGCAGTTCACTTCTTGCCCTTCTTTTTGTCTTTCTCTTTCTTGTCCTTCTTCATCTTAGGCTTTTTGGTCTTGTCCTTAGTGCCTTTGTGCTGCTGTGAGCAGGCGGAGTGGGACTGTGGGTGGAGTAACAAGGAGAGATTGGGGCTCGAAAAGGTGACTGGACCGCGACCCTCCCGGGTCCCAGACAGGATGTGCAGTCCCCTTACCTTCCCCTCAGAGTCCGAGTCACTGGAGCTGCTGCTGCTGCTGCTGGAGTCTGAGGAACAACCATGGCCGTGCTGGGGGGGGGGGGGGGGAATGGCAGTGAGGGCTGGAAACCTCAGGTCCCGCACCCCAAGTTGGACGGCTGAGGTGCAACGTGGCCCCAGGACGACAGTTCACCCCAGCCTCCCCTCCTCGGATGGACTCGGTGCTGAGGCGACTCACCTGCGGCTTCTGGCCTGCCCCTGGCCCACCTTGAGCTTTAGGGGGACCGTGCTTGGGGTCTCCCAGTTTGCATGTCCCCTCTGTCTTCTTGGAGTTGGAACCCAGGGCTGCAGAGAGAAGGGTCGGGTGGGTTGGCGCAGGCGAAAGGGAGTGAGCCTAAGTCTGGATCCGCCACCCTTTGGGCCGGAACCCCCTGAGCGCACCTGCCTCCAGGCTGAAGTCCATGGTGGCCAGAACAGGTGTGTCCCAAGTGCCAGAGGAACCGCGGTGCCCTGGGGTAGGGGAGGAACAGTGGACCTGCCCGCCCAGGAATTCCCAGTGGTCCACCCTCCTGACCTTTGTCCCTGCAGCTTCTCCGAGATGACTCAGAGCCCTGCCCTGGCTCCTCCCAGATTCCTCGGTGGAAATGGAGGCAGAACCAAGCTGCTTAAGAGGGGAAGGGCCCCCGAGATGGGGCTGAGCGATAGGGGGAGATCCGGTTTCGGGGGCGAGGACTGAGAGTAGTCCTTGGCTTCCCCTCAGCGGGTCAGATGTCACCTGCAGTGGCCAAGCTCTCCAGAGTTCTGTGATTGGGCGGACACCTCATGAGTGTGCCTGCACAATTCCCAGATCTTTGTGGCTTTAGCTGAGATTTGCAGCCCATCTGGGGGCCTGGAAGAGCCCTTGGGCTCTTAGAGCAAGAAGCTGAGACCTGCAGGCAGACCTCTGAGAGTGACGTCTTGTCGCTTATTTGTGAAGGCAGATCCTGGGGTACCTGGGAGACTTGGATGAGTTTTCTACTCCGATACCTGGGATTGTGTTTGGTTTTTTGTTTGTTTGTTTGGTTGGTTTTGAATAAACCAAGGGTCTTACTTTGGACTGCTATAGTAAATCCATAGGACTAGTGCTTTAAACTATTTGTTTTTCATAATGCTGGAACTTTAGAGTCCAAGACCAAAGCACTAGCAAGCAGATCCTGTGTGGAGAGAGGACCTGCTCCCTGGCTTGTGCACAGCCTGTCTCTGCCTCTTCATGGGCCTGAGAGGAAGATCTCTCAGGGTTTCTTTGTGGGTGGGGGCTTGAAACATAGGTTATATAACCTAGGCTGGCTTGAACTTGTGATCCTCCTGCCTCAACCTTTAGAGTGTAGGAATTATGGGTGTGTGCACCACGCCTGGCAGTAAAGTTATTAAAAGTCAGTGAATTGTATATTAGAAAAGTTTTATGTAACAAATCTCAGAGCTTGCCTTTTTTTTTTTTTTGAGATGGTCTCCCTAATGTAGTTCAGACTGGCCTTGAACTAACTCACTTTGAGCCTAGGCTGGCCTAGAACTCTTGCAAATGATCCTTCTGCTTCAGCTTCCCCATTGTTGGGATTACAGGGATGTGTCACTGAACTTAGTTCTTTATTTTTATTTTTTAAGTGATATGTATGATTCAAGGAGAGAAATACAGCCGGAAGTGGTAGCACAGCCACAATGGGGGGAGGGTCTCAGGTGGGGGAGTCTAAGGCAAGAGAATGACAAGTTTAAGGCCAACCTGGGCAATTCAAGACCTTGTCTTTAGGGCTGGGATAAAGCTCAGTAGTAGAGCATTTACCTAGATTGAGTGAGGACTGGGGTTCCACTCCCAGTTCTGTAAAATAAAAACAGCAAAATAGCAGTCCAGAGGGATGGATAATCATTGTGTGATACGCTACAGAGGGGCTGGATTATAAAGTCACCAGGGGATCTCCCTGAAATTCTGTAAGTTTTCTTGGTTTTTGTTTTCCTTTTGAGATGGGGCTGTATGTCTCACTGTGTGGCCCAGGCTGGCATTAAACTGGGCTCAAGTGTTCCTCCTGCCTCAGCCTCCAGAGTAGCTGGGACCACAGTCACACACCACAGTGCCTGGCTGGTGTATTTTGAGTAAAGATCTGAAGATGCAGTGGGAGAGTACCCTGCTCAGAGGGACGCAAGCACAGAAGCTCTGAAGCAGGAATGCACTCGTGTGTCCAAAGAACTGTGCGGCAGTTAGAGGGACGAAGAAGACAGAGACAGAGATGAGGCTGGGTAGGGGTGACAGCAATGACAAGTCAGAGATCTTTGCTCTTTTGATGAGCGGAGGAGATGAGCAGTGATTGTGGCTTTGCTCACAGCTGGGTTTAGTGGCACAGGGCTGTAATCCCAGCCCTTTGGGAGGCTGAGGCAGTAGGATCACAAAATTAAGTCCCACCTGGGCTACTTAATTTAGTGAGACCCTGTCTCAAAATAAAGGGCTGACTGAGTATGTAGCTCAGTGCAAAGACCCTGGGTCCAATCCCTAGAACTAGGAGAGAGACAGAGAGGGAAAGTGTCTGCTGGTGTCTGCTTCTCTGCTAAGTAACTCCTGTGTGTGAGGGTGGGGACATCCACGGCTTTGCTCATAGCTCAGAAAGGTATGACTTAGTGGGGAATCAGGTTACCTGATGCCAAGGGTATGCTAATGATAGGCTAGAGCCAGTACAGACTGGCTATCTCTGGGCTGTGGAGGTCAGGCTGCGGACAGTGGGCTCCTTGCTGTACCCCTCACTGCTCTGCGGACAAATGGGCTAACCACCCTGGATTTATGCTCCTACCAGGATAAAGACGCAAACTTGCCTCACAGGGAAATGGTTTTGCAGTGTGCCTGACACAGGTAAATAAAAACAGATGCTCAATGTTATTATTTACAAGCACCTATTATTTCTCATGAAACTTAACAGACAAGTGGTCATGGTGACACACACTTGGGATGCTGCAGGAAAGAACATGTGGGTTTGAGGCCAGTCTGTACTACCTAGTGAGACCCTGTCTCAAAACAAACAAAAGTGGCTGGTGAGATAGCTCAGCAGTCTAAGGCACCTGCTTAGGCAAGCACTCAGGGACTGCAGTTCGATCCCCAGCTCCACATGCCGCGCTAGCCCTGCCCCCAGGGTGGGCTGAGCCAGCCACAAAAAAAAAAAAAAAAAAAAAAAGAAGGAACTCATGCCAGTGATCCCAGCCCTTGGGGGCCTGAGGCAGGAGGTCGCTGTGAGGGATCAGGGCCAGCCTGGGCTACACAGCAAGACCCTGTCTCAAAAAAAAAAAAAAAAAGACATCCCTTTTCTCAGAGGATAGCCTGTGCTAGTGTGAGGCTGAGGGCTGTGTGTGTACCCCATGAGACCAGGCTCCATCCATCTTGTTGCCCTGTGTCCTTCCAGGGCAAGGTGACCTGCAGAGGCTGATCCCCACTATGGGACTGTCCAGTTGTCAGGAAGGGCAAAGTGGAGACAAACCCTTCCTTTCCAGGCCTTGACTTGGGGTGAGCTTCACTGGTTGAGCTCTTCTGTAGCATCACAAAACCCTAGTTCCATCTTCAGTACTCTAATAAAAGAGACAGGAAAAAAGGAAGGGGCGGGGAGATGCAGACCCATCTATGCACAACCTATTGGCCAGGACTTATGGTCACATCTAGCTACAAGGGAGGCTGGGAAACATTCTTAGCTGAATAGCCATGCTGCAGTGGTAAAACCTAGTGACTTACTGAAATGAAGGCAGAATCACACAGGAGAGCCTATCCTTTGGTATCTCCCTACCCTACCTACGGCCCAGACTTACAAATGGTGGCCACGCATATCTCGGAAGGTAGACACAGAAATGCTTGATCAGCAACACAGGTGTGAGGCCCGAAAGGTATAGTGAGCCTTCTGTTCTTTGGATTAGTACCCTGTCATTCACTTTTCATCTGTCATGGCCATTGGGACCAGGGACAGAAGCTCACATCTATGCTCCCCAGGCCTGTTTGCCTGGCCTTTCCTCACCGACCAACAATAGGTCCAGGTAGCATGTGGGATTCCCCTTTTGAGGACCAACTGCCTGCAACTGCGAGGTCCTGAGTTCCATTCCTGGTACAAAAAAAAAAAAAAAAAAAAAGAAGACTAGCAAGGATTCCCCTGTTGGTCTAACATTGGTATCTAATGGTTCTGCTCTTTACCTTCTGCTGATTCCCTAATTTTTTCTCCCTAAAATGCCTTGGTGCAAAGGATGTCAACAGAATTCCACTCCCTTAGAAAAAAAGACTTGTGTTCTCAAGTGGCCTACAACAGTACTGACCTTGCTCATAGCATTAACTTGCCCTTTCCCTGATGTCCACCTGAAGGACACAGATGTCCCTCAGGGGGTCACTCCAACTCTGAACCTGACCCTGGTGCTGCACTTAGGAAGAGGCTTCTGGATACACATTCAGTGCACAGGGAAGCCACACGCTGCAGGTGGATTATGGGAAGGGACAGTCCTCCATGGGTTCTTGTGCTCCTGCATGTCTCGGGGCACACATGGTCAACTAGAGAACAGCTGTAACAAGGTCTGGTTTAGTCTTGCCTGGAGTTCATGTACACAGAGTAGCCTGGTCCTATAAACATCATAATCCCTGTGTTGGAATGTTTTCTTTTAAGAACAACCACATCGGGGCCAGGGAGATGGCTCCGTGGAATAAGTGCTTCCCTGGCAAGTGCAAGGGCCTGAGTTTAATCTCCGGTTCAGCAAAAAAAAAGAACAACCACATCCCACTCTGTCAATGACCCTACGCACACAGTGATGACATTAAGCACACAGAATCGGGGCTGAGACACTAAACATCAGGAAATTTTGACAGACCATCCTCTGGGAGGTGTCACAGAGCTGACAGCACAGCTGCGGAGGCTCAAACTTGGCATCCAACCAGCCAACTGTCAGTTCTATGATAATTTTTTGTTTTTTGAGACAGATTCTTGTTACATAGCTCAGGCCAGCTTTGAGCTCAGTGATTCTCCTTTGTGTTGCAATTATAGGCGTGTGCCACCACAGCTGGCTCTATCTGTAGAGTGTGTTGCCCGGGGCACCTAAGCAGGGGGATAGGACTTATTTCAGGAAGACCCACTGCCATCCACTAGGAACCATGAAGGAGGCTGATACCAAACTACTGAGTTCGGTGTTCCTGCTGGTCACTACACAGCACTCTTGTCATGCCCCACTGAGAGGGAGCCTTTTCCCCACACAAACCCCACAGGATAGGGCACAGAGGACTCAACACAGTCATAAAGCCTGACCTAAAAGGCCATCACACTGACCACACCACCAGCCATGTGGGCAGTGCCACTGAGTGCAATCTCCAGTGCCACACAGGAATTGCCCAGGATTCCCTGGGTGTCAAAAACATGATCTTCAACCAACCTGGCTGGCCCAAGGCTGTGCTGGCCTATGGAAATGTTGGGGTGGGGCCCTCACTCAGGAGCTGTGGTGACAGCAGGTATCAAGCCAGCATGCTGGGTGGCCTTGGGGCAGCGTGCTGTGGGCAGGGCAGAGTCCCAGGTTCAGATGCTGCTCCACCTAGGTGGAAGCACATCAATGCATGACCTGGAGCCATGCTGATCCCCCAAGGTCAGAAGATGGGTGTGTCCACCCCTCAAAGCACAACTTCACCCCTTCTAGCACCACTACTCACAAGAAGTCCCCTCAGTGGAAGGAAATGAGTTTATTTTTACAAATTGATAGGAACACATTTTCTCTCTCATATGGCCAGTGTAAGGAAGCTTGCAAACAGTCCACTCAACCAGGTGGGCACTGTGCTCACCACCCAAGGTGAGTCCATGCAGGAAAGAAGCTTGACAGCAATGCCAAACTGGACTCCCAGTCCCTAGACCCCCTTGGGGCAGATGCAGGCCTAGGCTTCACATTAGTCGGGGAGAGGTGTAGCATCTCTGGCTCCTTGTCCTGAGCAGGAAGTGCCCTAGGGAGAAGTGTTTTTTTTTTTTTTTTTGGTGGGCAGCCACTGTCTCACTAGTAAGACGTGTGGTTCAGAAGCAGTGAAATGGCTGGGGGGATGGCTCAATAGAATAAGCACCTGCCTGGCAATTGCAAGGGCCTGAGTTCAATCCCTGGTTCTGCCAAAAAAAAAAAAAAAGGCAAGTGAAAAAATCTTTGTTTGATGCTGCGGGTGGAACCCAGGCCCTTACACAACAGGCAAATACTCTGAACAACATACCACCAAACACCTCCAGTCTCCCTTATTTTCAATTTTGAGACAGGGTTTAAGTAGCCTAGGCTGGCCTGAAACTTGCAATTCTCTTGTCTCAACCTCCTTTAGTAGCTGGGATTACAGGTGTATGCCACCATAGCCAGCCCTGAGTAAATGTATAAAAGCTCATCTTTCCTGTTTGAAGCTGATGACAAGTGGTATGGTGTGCAGTGCCCACTCAGTACCTGAGCTACTGGCCCATCTGGGTAGCCTTTACAACAAAAAGGTACCATTACCAACCAGTGAATATCACAGAAAGTGAGGCCAGGGGAGATGGCTCAGTAGAATAAGCGCTTCCCTGGCAAGCGAAAGGGGCTGAGTTCAATCCCTGGTTCCGCAAAAAACAACAACAAAAACCCCACCACAAACTTAAAACCTGACACAGGCTTCAAGGGCTACACTGGACAGCAGCATCCTAACCTGGGAAGTGTCAACTGTGTGATGGAACCAGGAGCCAAGAGGGAGGGAAGAACCCAGACACCAGCCTGAGAGGGGGCCAGGGGACCTGCCCTCTGTATGCCCAGGCACTCTCTTTA